AGTCTTCGGTCATTAGTGTTCAGTGTGTCAAGTTGAGATGGTCTCTAAATTCACTTTCCATAGGCCTAGAGAACTTAAGTGCCTTGATGAAGGTCACACAGGGTAGGGTGTGGAACTGGAGTTGGAGTCCAGTTTTCTACAGAGACCAAGCCTTATCTGCCAATTAATGGAATGAAGATTAATCATGACAAAGTGTTGTTAGTTGCCATCAAGTTAGCCCTGACTCACAGTAACTTTATGTATAACAGAACAAAATGGTGCCTGATCCTGCACCACTAATGACACTCAAAAACCAAGCCATCAAGTTGATTTGGACTCACAGGGACCCAGTAGAACAGAATAGAACTTCTAAGCTTGTAAATCTTTACAGAAGCAGACGGCCTTATCTTTCCATTGCAATGCAGCTGGGGGGTTTGGTTAGCTGCCCAGTGCTTTAACCACAGTGTCACCAGACCTCCTGTAATGACAGTAACTCAAGACCAAGCTCAGTGCCATCAAGGACATTTGAACTCATAGGGGCCTCCATTGGGTTTTCAAGGCTGTAAATCCTTACAGAAGCAGACTGCCTTATCTTTGTTCCTCAGAGAAGTAGGTGGGTTTGAACCACCAACCTCTTGGTTAGCAGCCAAATGCCTTAATCACTACACCACCAGAGCTCCTTATAATGACAATGTTGTTGTTAGGTGCCGTTGAGTCGTCTCCGACTCATAGCAACCCTATGCACAGCAGAATGCACCCAGCTGCTCTGCCCTCAGACCTGGCTGGCTTCACCACGTCACTGCGTCCCACACCTGTGCCCCACACCTGTGCCTGCTTGCATTTTCCTAGCCCTAGGAATCTGGCTTTTGTGTCCCCAACAGAAAATATGCCAGCTGGAGCCCGAGGGGCGCGTGAAGGTGGAGCTGGTGCTATGTGCCGCCGAAGCCCTCCTGGCGTGCTGCCTCGAGGACCAGAAGCCCGAGATCCTAGCCCAGCTGAAGGACATCAAGGCCCAGTGGGAGGAGACGGTCACCTACATGACTCACTGTCACAGGTAGGACGACTGACCCTCCTGGTCTGCCGCCACACTGGCCCCGGGCCTCTGCCCCAGTCTCCAAGCTGCGAAGGCTGGGCATAGTATATTCTCCTGGGATCTGGGCCAACCTTGCCCAGCTCTTTCTAATTATAATTCAAACTTAATGGTGAGAATGGGCACTGGGAGTCCTGCAGGCTTTGCCAGCAACTCTTAATGGACTTGCCATATGTGTATCCTCTAGCTAGAAACCAAGGATCCTGGAGTAAGAAGGCTTTTTGTCTTGCTAGCCTCTTAGCCTAGATTCTCTGCCTGCACCAGGGAGCCAGGTGATTGGTAGAATCAGGTTCTTGGTGGGAGGAAAGCCAGGCTGACCTGAGATTGACTCCTGCTCTGTTGGTTATTTCCTGCAGGCCTTTAGGAAAGTTACTTGGGCCTCTTTGACCCTCAGTCTCCTCATCTGGGCAATAGGGATCTCAAGTGTCCCTTGAAGGTTGTTGGGAGGCTGGAAGGAGATAGAAGATGTCAAAACCAAGGCCCCCTGCTTGGCACTAGTAGGCCCTCAGGAAAGGGGAGCTGCCAGCATCTTCTTCATCTTTATAGAATAAGAACATGGAGGCTGGGGTGTCTTCTGCACAGTTCTGTCTGCTTTTCATAGAGAGAGGGGCCATCTCCCTGTTGCAGATGAGGAAACTCAGGCAGAGAAAGAGGCAGGGTTAGGCAGCGAGTGGATGGCACTGCTGGGACCCTCACGCAGACCCTGGCCTGTTCCCCTGCCCCATGAGCCCTGACAAGTGCACAGATCTGATTGTACTCAGCAGATTACCTGCTGGCTCCCAGTGCCGTCTTCTGTGACTCAGTACACACACGTATGCTAAGAGCCTGGGGTGACTACTCTGAGTCCCAGTGCCGGAGAGTGTCTGTGCATGGTTAGTGGGAGTTCACGGATAGCATTTGGGGTGTAGGTGGCTAAGGGCTCCCCACGTCTGGTGCTTCCCAGAGTGGGTCTGGAATCTGGGCCCCCTGCCTGCTTTAGTCCCTGGGAGGTGCAAGTAATTAAGTGCTCGACTACTAACTGAAAGCCAGAGGTGTCTTAGAAGAAAGACCTGGCATCTGCTCCCAAAAGGCCAGAGTCTTAGAAACCCTGTGGAGCACAGTTCTACCCATAACAAGGGGTTGCCATGAGTTGGAATCAAAGTAACGACAACTGTTTGGTTTGCTCTTTTGCCTGCTCCTTGCCCCATCCATGGAGCATTTTTGTAGGACAAGACGTCTTATCCACTAGGATGGGGCTAGGGCCCAGGCTGGGGTATTAACAGGCTGCCCAGGGGACTCTGAGGTGCCCCATCACCCACCTACTAGTGATGAGAGGGAGGCAGTGGCATGGTCCCTTGGCTTGGATGCTGAGAGGTTTTGTAAGTGGGTAGATGAGTGGTGCGTAGACAATGAGTAGGTGGGTGGAAAGGAGCCCTGGTGGCGTAGTGGTTAAAGCATTTGGCTGCTAAGCAAAAGGTTGGTGGTTTGAGCTCACCATTTCCTCCATGGGAGAATGATGAGACAATCTGCTTCCATAAAGATGTACAACCTTAGAAATTCTACGGGGCAATTCTACTCTGTCCGAAAAGATTGCTATGAGTCAGAATTGACTTGACGACAGTGGGTTTGTTTTTTATTTAAGAAGGCAGGTGACTGACAGATGGAGGGATGGAAAATGCCCAGGAGCCAGGTGGGGTGGGTCCATGGCCACCCGTCTCTGTGTCCACAGCCGCATTGAATGGGTGTGGCTGCACTGGAGCGAATACCTGTTGGCCCGAGATGAGTTCTACCGCTGGTTCCAGAAGATGCTTGAGACCCTGGAGCCTCATGTGGAGCTGCAGCTAGGCCTGAAGGAGAAGCAGTGGCAGCTGAGCCATGCCCAGGTGCTGCTGCACAACGTGGACAACCAGGCTATACTCCTGGACCGACTGCTAGAGGAGGCAGCCTCCCTGTTCAACAGGATTGGGGACCCCAGCGTGGACGAAGATGCCCAGAAGAGGATGAAGGCCGAGTACGATGCCGTGAGGGTCAAAGCCCAGGTGAGGTTTGGCCTACTGTATCTTTACTCACCTGTCCATCTGTCTACCCATTATCTACCCATCCAGTCACCCATTTATTTACTAACTATTCATCTCACCACTTACCACCCACTCACTACTCATCATCTGTCTATCTGTCCACCCATCCATTTACCCATCCACCAACTTACCCACCACCAACTCACCGATTATCCATCTGTCCACACACTACCCATCCATCTACTCAGCTACCACCTTTCCATCTACCCATCCAACAACTACCCACCACCAACTCACCCACCATTTATCCATCTGCATACCTGACACTCAACCATCTACCCACTCACCCATCTGTCCCCCCAACTAATCTATCCAACTTCCCAGTCCACTGTCCACTCACCTACCTGCCCCCCAACTCATCCACTTACCTGCTGCACCATCCCTCCATCTATCCACAATCCTATCCATCTATCCATCCACTCACCCATCTATCTCCCCATGCACTTAACCAGTCTCCTATTTGTCCACTCAATCACTTAATTGCTCACCTGTTCATGTATCTACTTACTCATCTACCTATCAACCCATCCTCTTCTTCACTCATGTACTCACTCATCCCTCTCTCCACTCTCTACCACCCACCCACTATCTATGCCTTCACCCATCTACCTTAGTCACTCAGTGTCTACCTGTCACCCATCTACCCACCCACCACTTAACTACCAACCCACTAGTTTTTCATCTACTCTCTGCCATCTACCAGTGCCCACCCTTCTACCTATTATCTACCATCCATATAGTCTCCCACTCTTTACCCACCTACAACCTAACTACCCATCCATTTTCCAACCTCCATCTGTCAGTCACCTGCCCTCTTAAATTAAAAACAAACCCACTGCCATCAAGTCAATTCTAACTAATAACAACCCTTTCGGACAGAGTAGAATTGCCTCATAGAAGTTCTAAGGTTGTACATCTTTATGGAAGCAGATTGCCTCATCATTCTCCCATGGAGAAATTGGTGGGCTCAAACCACCAACCTTTTGGTTAGCAGCCAAATGCCTTAACCACTGTGCCACCAGAGCTCCTTTCTACTCATCTGCTCACTGTCTATCTACCAGTCATCTATCTGCTACTCATCTACTCACCCACCCATCAATCTATCCATTCCTCAGCCTTGTGTTCATCCATCGACCCACTTCAAAACCTCCCAGCATCCACCTAACCACCCGGCCCCTCCCTCTGCTCGTTCTCGTCACACTCACATGGGCCTTCTCTGTCCTGGGTGCTGGTCCAAGTCCTTGTCTGGGTATTGCCCTGTCAGGGACAGCTCCCTAAGTGCTGGCTATGTTGAGAAGAATATTAATAATGTCACCCCCTTGGCGAAGCCTTCACTGACCCTTCAACCTGAGGGAAGAACCCCCATTGGTTCTCTGTCCTGGATCCCTGTTCTTTCCTCAATAGGCTCATCAAAATTTATAATTACTTATACATCATTTTTGTGTTTCTTTCTTTATTATCTTTCACTCCCATCAGTTTGTAAGTGTCAGAGGGACAAGGGGCCATTTTCTGTTTTGCTTACCATCCAATCCCCTCGCACAATGTATGGTGCATAACCCACCCGCTGTCATTGAGTTGATTAGGACTCATAGCAACACCCATTGGCTTTCCAAAGTGGTAAATAGAGAAGTAGATTGCCCAATCTTCCTTTTGCAGAGCAGCCTTCTGGTTAGCAGTCAAATGCCTTAGGCAGTACGCCACCAGAGCACTCCCATAAAGATTTACAGCCTCGAAACCCCTTGGGTGTTGCTATGAGTTACAGTTGAGTCAATGGCAGCAGATTTGGGTTTGGGTTTATCAAGTACAAAGGAGTACCGGGCTTTGTGGGGCACCTTCTGCATCCACAGTTCTGTTTAACCCTCCACTCTCATCAGAGCAGTGCTGTTATTAAGCCCATTTTACAGGGAAGGAA